AATTAAAAATTAAAACGAAATTAACCGGAGGAATTTGTCCACATTTACGATATGAAGTCAAAATTTTCGAGGCACTAATTGAGATTATTAAATATAATAATAATAATAACAGTGAGTTTGTTTCAAACGGTATTGTCGATTCATTTTGGAAACTTTAGCATGTTATAGATTATTGGATCTAATGTTCTGTTTATATAGTATAGTGAGGGGAAACACAAACTTAACAGTTATAATACAGCGTAAATTACATAATTTAAGTTAAGGCAAACCAAAAGCTTCTGATGCGATTTATACAACAAAAGTATAAGTTCATTCTCAGTGTCGAAATTGTCGCTCTTCTTTTTCGAACCTTACGCGTTAAAACAACTCGGATGGGGTCAAAAAAAGAAAAGCTATGTCCACACAACCAGTCTGCGTCTTAAGGGGAACTCACTCATTCTAGAAAGGGCTCAGAAGAATACAACACGTGTGATTCTTGTCGTGACCAGTTTATCATGCGTCGAAAGACTAGCCATTCTGAATGTCTTCTCCATGTAATACCATAGTCAGAGAGATCTCATTGCAATGTCTGGAATTTCAAATAATGACTACATACCTGGCCTATTTTCTTTTTCTCTTCTCAACAGGTCGGAATAGCTCATAGAACTTAGCGGAAGAGTTCAGGAAGCAAGGAGGAACTATATCAATGTGGAGTACTAGTTCTCACTCCGAGTCATAAACTCCTGGATCCGACTCCTAGAAGAAGTGGTGTCAGTGCCCTCAATCGACTCACTCAAGAAGGGTTTGGACAAGCACAGAAGCTTACTAGAAAAGCGTTAAATATGTTTCATGAGTTCAGTCCTCAATCAAAAATTCTGAATCTAAATGGATAGTTTATAGGTGCTTACTGAAAATTATATGAACTGGAATGGAAGATGGTCGGCAAATGATCGACTGAATTTTTATCTAGAGAAATATAAATTGAAAAAGCCAGAACATGAGTTTTAATGTTTTCGATTCAATACAAAAACCGCGTGGTACGACAACAACGTTACACGTTTTGTAGGCGTGGTTTCTGTTTCATGATTTTCTCTGTTTCCAAATGGGTTCTTTATGTTTTTTTGCGCCTAATGTGGCAGTTGGTTTTTGGTCTGGAAACTATTTTTCTCTACAAATATGTTGAAAGGGTTGAAGTAAAAGTAACATAGCCGGAGTTAATGTCTTCCCTGGAAGGCTTTTGCATGCAAACGACGCTGAAAACGGCTCCGAACTACTACTGAGAATGCGGGAATTGAGCACACAGTGTTTTAGTATAGAGAGCCACATTAGGAAAAAGTACTGGGCTCATTTCGTGTGGAAAAGCAAGCAATTTCATCATCATTTCAGAATTTGCTTACTATTGAAAGTTAGCTCTAGTAAAGAGTTCGCCAGCTTTACATCAGCATAATTGTAAGCTTAGGCAGGATTAGGGAATATCCTAGTCGTTGGGTTTCTTGCGATGGCCATACGTAAGAGTACTGATTACTGTTGTAATTTCCGCTGAAATAGGAGAGTTCCGAATTATTAAAAGTGAGGTCTGACGTATCGTTGCATTTAATATAAAGAAAAAGCCACTGGATTTTGTTCACCCACTTACCCCTTCTCTTCCCCATGTATCAAAGTCATTATAATAGACGTTTATTCTCTGTCAACCTTCATAAAAGGATTTGGAAAACTACCAGTTAGTGCTGAACTACCTTGAATAGTTCTTGAGTAGTGCTTTAGTAATGCTAGTCAGTGCTGAACTAATGCTTAAGGTGTTGAAAGGACTCTGGTAATTACTGAACTTTAATGCGTATAAAAAAGTTTGGATGCTAAACTAATACCAAATAAAAGAACAGACTTCTATTTATTGCCGAAAATTGTCCAGCTTCAGCATAAAAAACGTGGATTCAAATTGTTGCAAGCTTGAGCCTAGGGTCACTAACTTTACTTGGCTACTTGTACTCCACGGTGATTTCTAGTTGTGTACGTCTTCCACTCAGCGTGAATTTAAAGTAAAACTTAAGATTGAGATATTATCGAGAAATCTGTGATTGAAGTTGAACTATGGCACCCACCCCAGTTGAGTGTGCCACTGATTTTGAGCAACTAATCAAAATTAAGGGAAAATAAAAGTCGCGAAATTGTTGTAAAGAGGACTATTCTTCAATTTACCCCAAAATCCTAGTTTTTTCAGAACGCCATTTATCCTATCAAGCCTTCTTCTTCATTCATGTCTCGGTAACTGCAAATAATCCATTCAAAAGCTCAACCCTCCGGGATTTTGTTCACCTTATCTAAGATGGTCTTCATAATTTGATTTGCAACTCCAGTCGGCTACCATTCACATACGTCAGTAGTTGCTTTAGTTTGAATTCTCTCATACACTAAATAGGATTGTCGGTCGGTCGGTCGGTTTTCGACATAGAACTTTGCACACTCCATCATGTGATATGATTATGAGCAATAAATTGTGCTCGAAACGTCATCAGTAAACATTACTGTATAACACTGTGAAACTTTATCAAAATAAATTTACCCATATGGAATCTATCCATCCTCGTCCGTACCAGGTGGTTTATGGGGAGAGATTTTAAAAGACAGCTGGTATTTTCTAGATAACGTCTTCTTCATCAGGTCCTACAGTTATATGTCCATAATAATTAGTTCTTTTGATTCGGCTTCACCTACTTGCGTGGCTAAATAAAGGTTTAATATAAAACCATCGTTAGTTCGATATCAGATCTTTTTTCATCTATCTTGTGTCCGAATAGATTGCAAAAAGCCTCTAGCTACCAAATACTCTGCCACGCTGCGAAGGCCATTGCTATTTTCGCGTAAAACAATCGGAGCTTTTTGTGCAAAAGAAATGGGCCCAGACACTTTTGCTATCTTCGGTTGCTGTGAAACCTATATAAATTTACAAATCCCATATGATTTCTTCTTAATTTTATCTGGTATTGAGTTCAGTATTATATTGATGCATATTGTCACCATAATTGCTAATACCAATAATTTTAATTATTGTGGCCGTATAACTGTAGAACTTGAAGAGAAGTTATCAGAAAGAATACTTTATGTACTAATCTCAGGGATTTTAGAAGTTTTTAATTGATATCTTTAACCAACTTATGTGTCAGATTCATCAAGGTGAATTCTACTTCCTACGGGAAAGGCGGCAGGCCCAGACGGAATTCCCCCCGAAGCACTGAAAACGGACCCAGGGACTACGATAGGTGCGCTCACGTCAATATTGCAAACAGTTTGGAAGGAAGGAAAGGCACCTACCGACTGGAAGAAAGGCTACATTGTCAAGCTGCCAAAGAAGGGCGACTTACGCCTCAATCTGCAAGAACTGGCGTGGAATCGTGCTCTTGTCAACGCCAAGTAAAATACTAAATCGCATCATCCTGGAGAGAATAAAGGATGCACTGGATACAGAACTCCACCAACCCGGAACAAGCTGGATTAAGAAAAGGCAAATCATGTGTTGATCGAATCGCAACTCTACGCATCGTCGTCGAACAAAGCATAGAATGGTAGTCAAACTCCTCTCTATCCCATCAAACTTCATCGACTTAGGAAAGGCCTTCAACAGACAGTGTTGACCGAGAAGTAATTTGGAAACTACTTCAACACTACGGCATGCACTGCCCAAGTCTTTATCAACCTCATTCAACAGCTATATGACAGTGGCACGTGTCAGGTGATCTACAACGGAAGACTCAGAGAGGCGTTCGAAGTGCATACAGGAGTAAGACAAGGCTGCCTATTATAACCGATGATATTCTTAATTGTGGTGGGCTGGGTTATGCTTCAGACTGTGCATGGGAGCTGGGAGACAGGAATACGCCGGACGACCGATAAGAAGACTCTAGAAGATCTGGATCTCTCAGATGATATATGTCTAATGTCACACAAACACACAAGCGAAAAGCAACAAACTGGCTGAAGAGGCTAAAAGCGAAGACAAGACTTCAGGTGAACATAGAGAAGACGGAGGTGATGAGGATAACCATACATCGACAGCAACCACCATCAACGGAAGAGATTTGAATGAAGTTAACTCCTTCAATTATCCGAGAAGCATCATTTCAATTATAGGCGGAATGGATGAAGATGTCAAAGTCAGAATTGGAAAGGCAAGATACGCCTTCATCAATCTGAAACCAGTTTGGAAATCTTCTACACTCAGTATAAGGAACAGGATTCGGATTTTCAACACCAATGTCAGGTCGATCCTTCTACACGGGTCAGAAACTTGGCGTGTAACAAAGAGGATTTCCAACAGGTTGCAGACTTTCATGACGTTTCGAACAAAATTTATTGTTCATTATCATATAAAATATAATGATACGACTTCGAAACTTGAGTTTTATAGTTTTTTGTGCTTTCCTATTTGTTGTAGGGTTAGTAGAATTTTCCAGATTTCCAACTGGACAGGTGTTGATTCATTCCTATTACGCGTGTTTGCAGTGGATTCGATAAATAAAGCTTCCGTTATCAATCTCTCGCTCCACCCTGTTACTTTCGATTTTAAAGCCTTCATCTTATCCCATGCTATTGTATCATTGAGTGTAATTGTATGTAGTGAGTACTATAGCTGAACTATTCTCCAGATTTCTTATCTTATTCTTCTTTATTTTCACTTTAATTCCTGTCTTCACTGTTTATCTCTTATGCCAACCTGTTGGTAGATCTTCGAATTTGTGTAATATTTGACATGAATCATAGGCAAAATCCAGATGTTATAGAGTATTTTGTATGTGTGCTCTCTCTCCTCACGGTTTGTTGCATACTTAGCAGCGCTGTCTGTCATTGTCATCGGCAATTCTCCCTACAGCCTCCTCCACTTGGTAGACGTCACTACTCGCCAGAACAATTTTACACGATTTAGTTTGTAACCAAACCAAAAATCTCTTCAAATAAATAATAATAACCAATTTGTTCTTATCTTTGCACTCTTCCCGCCCAGATATTACATATCTCCAATCGATAAAATGATCTTGGATATTCAAAATGATAAGTCAAGTGTTGGACAAAGTGCCTTCAACATTATCAAGACATTACTTCTCGAAGCTAGTGAACAGAAACGTAAAGTTACAATTGGTTTATCCGGTGGAAGTATGCCCCAATTGCTTGCACCGTTCTTATGCTCACTTCCAACGTCTACTCCTACGATTAATTGGAGTTTAGTGCACTTCTTCTATTGTGATGAACGATTAGTCCCCCTGGACAGCGTGGATTCAAATCATCATAGCTATCAAGAGCTGATCTATTCAAAAATTAATATCCCTCAATCAAATATACATACTGTGAATACATCGTTATCATGTAGGTAACTCTTCATGTTCTAATCGTTGATAAACTTCACCTTTAGTAGAAGAGGCTGCTACCGATTATCAAAAACAAATTTTGGCATTCTTTGGTACAGAGAATGGTTATCCTCGTTTTGATTTACTCCTACTTGGTATGGGTCCTGATGGACATACATGTTCATTATTTCCTAATCATAAACTACTTTATGTAAGTAAATTAATGCTAAGTTTTACTGTTATTTCCTTCTTTTTCTACCTATACATCTCACCAGCCACAGTAACATGGAAAATTATCGGGGTTTAATAGATATCTGGGAGATTATACGAAGAGTGAATGCATTTGCGCCATTGAGAACAAACATTTTGAGTACCTTAACTAGATACCTTACATGCCTCTGTGTCGTTAACTCAGACTAACAATCAAAGACACGATGGATTGATGTCAGGTCTTGATATGATTCCAACTTGATTATATGTCAGTTAACATTGCTCAGTGAGGAAGGCGTGGTAGCTTGACGTGCCTTAGCCATCTCAGTCGGTGCACAGCTTCACAACTTCATTGATCGACTTTTCCTCCTTCCGTGACACTTTACCTTAACATCAATAGTATTCACTATATTATACCACCACTTATCACGCAGGATAGAATGCAAACATTCACTATCAAAGAGAGAGAGAGAGCTAACCTCTTTAATTCTTCTACTTCCAGCGACCGTGTGGAAATCGTTGAGATATCTGACTCTATGAATGGACATGTGTGCTGGATATAACAGCAGTGTGCCCCATCTTTTATTGTGGTTATGAGACGTAGGCGTTGAAAGTGGGGGATTTAAACAGCCTAGCCGTCTTTGACCACATGTGTTTGCTTTCTCTCTCTGCTGTGTGTTAGGTGGTTTAATGTGGTGGGTTATATTGAGGTAGTTAGGCTTGGAGTGTTGTGTAAGGTGAGAAGGCACTTTATGATGTTGACTGAGGTAACAATGTTAGCAGACACAGAAGTGAATTTGGAAAGAGTTAAGGGTAGGAGTGGTCAAAACATAGGACCAGTTCTTAAAATCTTTGACTGTAGGTTTTTACCATCCAGAGGTGTGGACTATCTGGTTGACCGGGGTCCTCAAGACGTTGAGGAGCAGGCGAATACTAGTGGTATGGCTTAAAATGTTTTTCAGTAGAGGAGATGCATTCACTCTCTGTGAACTTCAGGATCCATTAAATTCCCATTGTTCTTTACGGTACTTATTTTTTCGTACATTTTCTGTTCAAGTTGTCACACAAAAAATGATGGACAAAAGAAAGAGAAAAAGAGATTCAAAACTGTAATAAACAAAAAATTACGAGAGAAAGGAAGAATAGTAACACGGAATAACATGAGGAATATAATGATTCTAGGAAATTGTCTGTAGAGTGAATGCATCTGTGATATTGAGAATGATTTTGAGCCATATCACTGATGGCCTCAAGCCATTGGTGATTCTTAGCATGTCGAGGACCCCAACCGCCTAGGCAGTCTGCACCTCCCTACGTGACTGGCTCAAGCCAACAGTCAAAGACTTCATGGACTGATTACTTCCCCTACGTAATTCTTTTCCAGTCTAATCCTATATCAACTAACATGGCTCGATAAGGAAGGTAACGCTACTCACACCACGTCTTAATGCCATTCACCTGATGAGTTGTGAATAGGGACAAAACGCCCACTGTAGATTCTAATACTAGCTAGCTAACTAGTCATCCTCCAGCCAGACAGCAAATAATTTACCTCAACTATTTTCATTGACTTACATGATGTTATCTCCTCCACTCTCGTCCAAATTGGAGTTCTAAGTCATGTGTTTAGGCACTCAACTTTAAACCATTGGCTGGGCCACACGTTCGAACCCCCGAGGTTTGGACAGTCTCCGAGCGGTACAACAATAGACGTGTCTCATCCGTAACTACATGAGTGGGACATGGTCATAGAAAGTGGAAGACATGAAAAGGTTGGCTGTCGTTTATCATAGGTGCCTGCGTTCTGTCTCCCGTGTTAGGTGGTATAATAGGGTGGGCAATTTTGAGGTTAGGCGTTGAGTGCTAGATAAGGAGGGGAAATCAGTCGTCGAGGTTATGAAGTGTTTCGCATCTCTAGCCACATCGCCTTCTTTGACGGACAATGTTAGCTGTCATGAGGATGATCATATCGGAAAAGAGATATTGGTAGTCAAATCGAAACATGGCTTCATTAATCAATGAAATCCATAACAGTTAGTTTAAGCCACATGAGGAGGTGTTGACTTCCTGGTTGGGGTCCTCGAAACGGTAAGAATCAATGGCTGGAGACAATTGGTAGGCGATATGGCTCAAAATCATTCTCAGTGGCGCAGATAGATTTACTCTTTGTGATTTGTCATATGATGCATCGGTGGCACTGCAATAGAACGCTTGCCAACCATGGATGTGTTCTGGGGTTCGACCTCCGGTCGATGCACTCCCACACCTCGCTAAGCCGGTGGGAAGATCGGTAAAGAGGGAAGGTTGGAAATGAGGCTAGCAAACCCATCCCGTAAAAATAAACACCACTGCTACTGAAACCTCAAAGCTCCTGTGTTCCTAATGGAACACAAAGGAATAAAAAAGATTTGTCATATCCAATAAACCTCTATTGATCTTCGATATTACTCTTCTTTTTCCCTCACACTTCTGTTTGTTATCTGTCTTCTCTTGCCTTCTGTGGTACATGGAGTGTGGCAACTTGAACTGCTGCACATTTGTGCAAAGTTTCACTTTGAAACCAGTCAATCATTTTTTATGTCTTCTACCTTTTTCTTCCTTTAATCTAGTATGAAGACTTCGTCGTAGCGCCAATATCGGATAGTCCTAAACCACCGCCTCAAAGAGTCACTTTGACTATTCCTGTTATTAATAAGGCCGAAAAGGTGGTATTTATGGTCACAGGATCAGATAAAGCTCAAGCAATAAAGGTAAGACTATGCTTTATGATATATAGATTTATTTTTATATTCATAGTTCAGTAAGGTTCTTGGTTATGAACCCATGCCAGTTAAGGGGTATCAGTCATTGAAAACCAAACAAGACACGTTGATGAACATCTGTCTCATCTTCCTTCTAGTTTGAGACTCCTCTTCAACAGTGTGCACCTTAAATATCTCTCCCATAAGAGATCGGAACCAGGATCTTAATTCTCCAAACTGTTTAGGAACAGCTGTCCTCAAAATCTGAATATTTATGATGGTATATATTACTGATTGTTTTTTGATGTAAGTACTTAGGTGCCAGCCAGCTCGTTTGTCACCAAGCTCATCAGTGAGCCAAACTGTCGTCCAGTGCTTAGATAACTTCAAACTGGCTAGCAGGCACTACTGATTGACGCAAGTAGGTGGTATCCAGCATCTCAATTGAGTCAATCAACCAGTAATTTATAGCTTTGTGGAATCATACTTCTTTTGTTGATCACCATTTATAATGGTATTAAGCAAATCACATGTTATATGTGATATCGTGTCACACTCGAACCGATGCCCAACTCATCGTTTTTCATTCCGATTCTACTTGAGCATTTTCTAGGCGTGTGATGTCACTAAACGGTCTGCTCACAGCGTATTTCCAATCCATTTCCACTTCCTTCTGGCTATTTCTTGGGCGATAGCTTGTTTGTTGCTTCGTTGCCAGAATTCTTTGTTGCTTATTCTTTACAGCTGGCTATCTGATATTCAGTGTGGAGGGAATACGTCTGTTGATGAAAGTCTAAAGGTAGCCTGTTGGAAATGCATTTGCGAGGTCTCTGAACCATACAGAAGCATCGAGTGACTTGACATTAGTGTCGAAAATTCGAATCTTGTTCCTTATGCTGAGTGCAGCAAGTTCCCACACTGATTTCAGAGTAATGAAAGGATCTGTCTTGCTTTTCCGATCCGATCCTGATTGCCTTTGACATCGTCTTCTATGCCACCCTCTGTAGTAGAAACTATGCTGCCTAAATAGTAACTGGTGCTTGTTCTTGTTGCTGGTTGATTGGTTGGTTGATTATCTTCATCACATCTATCTTCCTTAGTTTTACATGGAGTCTTGTCTCCATTGCCTGTGTCTTCCGCCTGTAGATCTTCGAGTTTTTGAGGCAGTAGACGTAGATCACCCACGCAAAACCCAGATCTTCTAGAGCCTTCTTGTCTTCCCAGCTTGTTCCTGTTTTCTCTTTCCTAACCGACAGTCTGCCGCATGACCCAGTTCACCACTACAATCATGATCATTATTGGTGATTATAGACACTTGTTTTACTCTCGTCTTCGTTATCTGAAAAGCTTCTGTGAATCTCTTCGTTGTATGGCGTTATTATCATATAGCTGTGGCTGAATGAGGTCCGTTAAGGTTTTTCTGTTACTGCGTGGTTCTCTAACAATAATTATATCAAAAATTAAAAATGTGGTTTCAGCGAAAAAAAATTTGTCGTCTCGACGAAGTCACCACCAATTAGGCTGTACATTCGTGTATGTATAGCAAAGTGATGGGAAAGTTTGAGAATCGTTTCTGGTCGAAGACCAAACTATAACGAATTATAACAAGATTACAAATAGGGATTAAAAACTTAATGCTTACAATGATAGCAAAAATAAATAGGAAGTTTCAATAAGAAACACTATAAGATAATAATTAGTATTGAGAAGGTTGACTGTCTATGATAGCCAGTGATGCAAAGTCTAAGCTGGTCGGACGTACTTCTTTTGAATACATAGTGGTGATTTGAATTTTCAGATAACTGCTGATGATTCCTAGCATGCGCCGATGTATTGATTTCACTCCCTTTATGGTTTGATCTGATCATGTACAGCACTTTGAAGGGTTTTTCAAATGGAGCTGACTGTTCTAAGTTCAATAAGGTGCCTTGTTGCTGAACTATTAAAATCTACGTTCTTCCTTTGACAGCCAGGCTGGATAGTGTTTCCAAATGCCTTTTATTATCAGAAGCATGGTATGGCCAATGTCCTCAGCTCCTGAAGAGCAATTAGGCTGGTATATACATGTTAATATAGCCCAATGCGACAGTATGTCTTTCACTTGCTGGTCGAATAGTCTCCTGGAAGAGACTGTTACTTCAAAGCTGGCTGCGAGGTATGCTCGTTGGTTTGTTGAGAGATTTACAAAGTCTTTTATCGGAGAATTTCTACTTCACTATCGCTTTCACATTCAAAATTCAGCAGGCTTTTTGTGTAGGTGAATCTTCTCAGCAAGTTATCAACATTTCTTCGCAGATTAACATCAAGGAAATGAAACGTCGAGTCAGATTCAACTTCCATTGTTACTAGTACTATTATTATTATTATTCCTTTTTAGGCTGTACATCGATCAAGTCAACCAGGTCCATCTATGCCGTGTTCGCTGATTCATCCAGTTCAAGGTGAATTGATATGGATTTTAGATAAAGCGGCTGCCAGTGAATTAGATACATAAAATCAATAATAATAGTAATAGTAATGACTATTATTTTTATATATATTTTCTGCACTCTATAAATTTCCC